AAAAAAAAAAAAAAAAAGAATCCTAAATATTTGTGAACCCAAAGCCAGAGGTTTAAAATACATGAAACAAAAACTGAAAAAGGAAAAGGAAAGGACAAAATCCACAGTAACAATCACAATTGCAACACCACTCTCTCAATAAACTAATAGAACAAGCAGACCAAAAAAAAAAAAAAATCTGTAAAGATAAAGAATACTTAGACAAGACTATCAACCCATCTGACCTGATAAACAATGTGTAGATATTCAACAATAGTACAAAACACATTTTTTCTACATTCACATGGAACATTTATGAATACAGACCACCTTCTAGACTATAAGTCAAGTTTCAATGAATTTGAAAGGATTCAAATTATACAAGATATATTCTCTGATGACAATTAAGGCAGAAATCAGTAACAGAAAGATATATAGACCATACCCCAAATATCTGAAAATTGAATAACATACTTCCAAATAACCTATAAGTCAAAGATAATATCAAAGGCAAATTATAAATTTAAATTTAAACTGAATGAAAATGAAAACACAGCATTCCAAAATGTGTGGGTTACAACTGAAGCTTAGAGGAAAATTTAGAGCACTAAAAATGGCTACGTTGGGAAAGAAGGTCTGATCTGACTTATGTACAGCCCATTATTTCTCTTCCAAATGGCTAAAATTAAAACTACAGCTTCAAAATGAAGAGATAGCTCAGTTTCATGGGAGCAATTCTCCTTCATTAAAATCACTGTTTTACCTTCAGTGAAGACCAACATAACACCCTTAAAATAGGGTGACCAGATTCTAACATATGTAAGGCGGGACAACATGGGGAGGTGCACGGGGCAGGGGATGGTGCAGGGCAGGGCCTGACAACAAGGCAAACTTTGAAAAGCAGTTCTCGATAATCACTTCTCAGCAATTATTTATTACAGTTTAACATTATAAAATTAACAAAAATAATATAACACTCATATTCTGGCGAAATAGCCATATGGCAGCCGAAAACCGCATATTCCCTTCTTGTTCTCCAGTCCGTTCGTTCATTCTTTCCAAAAATCGGGACTTTTTTAAAACGCCGCAGGACGCGGGACAAATTGTTGAAAAGCGGGACTGTCCCACCAAAATCGGGACGTCTGGTCACCCTACCATAAAACAAAGTCCCACACATCTGGAATGCCAAGAGGTTTGGGTTTTATAATGCATGACAGCACACACACCTGTACGGTTAGCTGGCCTTGCTGACTGGGAATCAGGAGAAGTTAAGCTTTGCCTTCTTCCAACTTCATCAGAAGGAGAGGTTGGTAATGATGATATTGGAGGAGTTTGTGCACGACGTGTAGGAAGGACAGTGGTAGTTGGGTAACTAGAGAACATTTGCCTTCAAGAAAATAACAGGGGTTAGCATAAAAATCCAATTCGAAAATAATACACACGTCATAATTTTCTTACAGAAGAATATGCAACCTAGAAGGTTAATCAAGTCAGTTATGGTTTAATGAAGGGTGGGGAGAGAAAGACTCCTCAGTTTTGAAATTTAGTATCTCATAAGGTACTTTTATTTCAAAAGTAATAAAACTTTGTTATTTGTTCAGCAAAATGCCAACAACTTAGCAGGTAGGAAAAATACATCAGTTAACAAAATAGATAAAAAATCTCTGCCTTCATGAGCTTTCCTTCTACTATAATACCAAGATGACAGGGGTATTTTGTTATGCATAAAATAACTATAAGTAAAGAAGACTTAAAGACAGGTAACTTATACTTACTTTAAATATAAACTCACTAACTAATCATGAAATTATTACCTGGATTCAAAGTAATAGTTTATAGGCAAGTTATAGAAAGAAAAGGTAACTGTCCAGTCATCCAGCACAACTGAAAAAGTGATATGCCAACTGTACAGAGGGAGAAAGATACATGTTTGGCCAAGGAGAGACAACTGTAGCTCTAATGAAGTCCCAGCCAATAGCAGAGAAACAAAGACTGAGAAGAAAGGATCAGTAAGAAGGCCTAGTGATTGCCAGTGGGAGCAAGAGGGCATGATTTTTACCACTGAATCCCTTGTTTACACTAGGCAAAGCTTGAAAGGTTACAAGGAGTCACAGTGCTACTGATCCTCTGTGGATGCCTTGAATTCTGTAAAGGCTCAAGAGATTAAAAACATATTAGAATGTCCTTTCATTCCTCTCTCCCTTCTCTCCTAAACAAAAACACCTCCTGAAACTGTTATTGAGAAAGGAGAAGCAGGAGATATGTGGGGAGTGGAAATAGTAGCTACCAGAATTAGTGCTCCTTGTACACAAGAACTGCAGTAATTCTTAAAGTGTGAGCTGAAGACCACTGTATCACTAAGGAAACTTAATTAAAATGCAAACTATGCGCCCCACCAGACCTACTGAATCAGACTTCCTGGAGCATACAGACCCAGGGCTTTAAAAAGACTCCCGTGTGGCTCTTGTGCACACTAAAAATTGAGACTCCAGTTCCACTCTCTAAGATGTTCCACACAATGGAAATATAAAGATCTGCTAACTAAGGGAAGGGGACAAAGAAGTAAAAAAAAGGGAGGCTAACTATTCTGATTCCCTTATTTCATTTAAGCCATAGTTAAGAGAGCTCACAAAACAATCTCTTCCTGAAAGTTTTCTTTCAAAAGTTTTCATTTGTATAAATATCTGGCAAACTGAAGCAAAATGAAACTTAAACAAACATTATTTGGAATGTACAAATTAATAATTTGCAAACTTATTAAAACAGGGTTTGCTGAAGAAGCATAAGATATATATGCTCTCTCATTTGAAAAATAGAATTGTTTGATCTTATAGTAACAATAAAAGTATAAAGGGTCATGCTTAAAAGGAAAATAACCTGAGAAAATCATTCTCATGGAGTTGTATTGTTACTTGACACTTTAACATTCAAAATACAAGATTTACTTTTTGAGAAAAAAAATACTCAAAAGCTAAGCCAAAAAACAAAAGATCATCATAAGGAGACAGAAAGGACTCTATTAGATTGGAGTACTTGCTTATCGGAGTTGATTAGACCTGGTGTCACCCCTAGCTGGCTGTGAGACGTTGGGCACATAATCAAACTTCTGAGAGATAACTCTGACTTCACTAAAATGAGTCTGACTGGCCACGCACAGTAGCTCATGCTTGTAATAGGAGGAGTTTGGACCAGCCTGAACAAAAGTGAGACCCTGCCTCAACTAAAAATAAAGACATTAGCTAGGTGTCATGGCACAAGCTCATAGTCCCAGCTAGTTGGAAGGCTGAGACAGGAAGACTGCTTGAACCCAGGAGTTTCAGGTTGCAGTGAGCTACCTTGATACCACTCCACTCCACTCAGGATAACAGAGAGACTTCCCCTTGAGGAAAACAAATACAAATAAAAAACCAAAGAGTTGGACTATACGATCTTTTAAGTTCCTTCTAGCTCTGGAATGCCAGGACCCACTTGAACACACTAATCATAAGATGACAAGTGTGCCTTCAGAAACATAGGAATCATTATGACAGACATCCAAGGTTAACTTTTCTACCTGAGAAGACTAAGTGGCATCACTCCTGGGGACTCAGATGCAGGTACTGTTTCTGTGTCAGTGACTGGAGTGGTGGCAGTTGTGGTGTCCTCCAGGGAGCTGCTCATAAAGGAAGTCGTGCTCGATGCTGATGGACTAGTGGTAACCGGTGTCTGTGCCTGCTGGGCTTGGTCACTTTCCTCAGCTTGTTGATCAACCTCTAGAAACCAAAATAAAGGTTAAGAAACTAGGAAGGCTTTGTTTTTTCAAATGTGACAGTAGGTATGGAAAACTTTTAAACTTTTAATTTTAGAAGTTTCTAAATATATTTTGTAAGTATCAATTTCTACAAATGATTTATAGAAAAAAATATTCTTCTACTCATTATTCTAGACTCTATAATAGTACTGTTAACTAGCTCTTATAATCACTCATTTCTGCTTTTAGAGAAGAGGGTTCTCTTAAAAAAATTCTCGCTTTAGGTTTTAAGATATGCTAAGAGGGTATCTAAACTGTGTTCCTTAGACTTTGATTTTGATGACTATCTTTAGCCTATAAATAGGCAAAGGTAAAGGCATGTAAATACAAGAATTAAAATATAGGTATAGGATAAACCCCCTCCATGATGTTTTTATGTGTGCAATTTATTTTTTTATTAAATCATAAATGCATAGATCATGGATACATTAATGTATACCCCTCTATGATTTTAAAAGGATACTGTCTTAGAAAACAAACAGGAAAAAAACACCCTCAAGAGTAAAAAAAAAAAGAGAGAGAAAAGAGGGAAAATGTCTAAAAGTTTACAAAATAATTATATATTTTTTCTTATCTGGTAAAGGAAACCACAAACCAACATAATCAAAATTGGAGTTGCTATCAAGATAGGCAATTCTATTAGATTTGGTAAAGGGCCATATCCCTACACAATCACTGGTAACTTCTGCTCATATTTTCCATGCACCTTTCTCTCTCTATTTACTGTCCAAGTTAAGATAGGAAGGAGAAGAGGAAAGGAAAAGGAGAAGAAGGAGAGGAGAGGTGTGAGGAGGGGAGGAGAGGTAAAAGGAAGGCATAAAGGACAGACAACATAAACTCCATGAATTTAAGAGATGTTTGTTAACTGCTGCCTCTCCGGAACCTACAAAAGTACCTGGAACATAATAGGCAGTCGATACATTTACTGAATGAATCTCATTTCAATTTCAGAATTCATACTATCTCCAAAAGGGAGAAAAAAAGATAAAACAAGGAGCTTTTTACACATAATATATATGAAGGTAATAGACTTTAAAATACCCTTTCAAATGTCTGAAAACCTGTGCTCAGTGGTTAGGGCACCAGCCACATACCTGGGGCTGGCAGGTTCAAACATGGCCCTGGCCAGCTAAACAACAATGACAACTGCAACAAAAAATAACTGGGTGTTGTGGTGGGCCCCTGTAGTCCCAGCTACAAGGAGCTGGGAGGCTGAGGCAAGATAATCTCTTAAACCCAAGAGTCTGAGGTTGCTGTGAGCCACAGCACTCTACCGAGGGCAACATAGTAAGACTGTCTCAAATAAATAAATAAAATAAAATGTCTGAGAAGTTATCACACTATTATATATTTTCAACCAGATCAATAAATACTTGAGTACCCTTTGTGGTATAAGTTAAATATCAATGTTACAAAATGTAGTAATAATTACTAAGTTCTAATGCTTGTACAAGTTTAAAATAGAAAATTATAGGTAGACAGATTATTATTAATATAAAAGTAACAAAAAAGAACTGTTTTCCTTTCAGAGGAAAAACAATGTGAAAATTGCATTGGCCAAAAGATTTTTTTTTTTTTTTTTTT